CCCCAAAACCCCAAAACCCCAAAACCCCAAAACCCCAGCTAGTACAAGTTAAGTTGAAATTATAAAATATATTTATTTGCTCACAAAAGTATAATGAACGAAGCTGGCCCTCATATAGAGGATACATCGTCGAATCTGAGAAGATGGACATCAGAGGTAGGAAAAAATATCAACTTTATGCCCCATGCTTTGCTTTAGGATAAACTAAAGGAGAAATCTCGACAATTTTCTCCAATATGGCTTTATAAAATCTAATTTGACTGACAAATATTTCAAACGCTTCATCTAATTTTAACTCTTCTCCAAATTTCAACTTGAGTCTAAATCTGATTTAATTTTTAGGAACAAAATCGATTAAACCGCCAACGAGAGACAAATGAAGTTCAATCAAACTCAATTTTTAATGCAATATATGAAACAGTTATTGCTGCTTTTCTCATAATCCTACTCGTAATGTCTCGAGGGGCTAGATGAGGCAAAGGAGTTAAGGAGATTATTATTATCAGTTTTGCTATTCGAATTGGGTTTCTTGCACCACTCAACTTCATTCTTCACTACCTAGTGAAACATCGCAAAATGAATCCTTCTGTTGTCGGGATGATTAACAGCATAATTGGCTTACCTTTCGTAGGATGGTACATATTCATTACGGTTCATTTCTTCAAAAGCGCAAAGCATTGAACACATGAATCGAGCGCTCTTTACTGGGGATTTATGATCCTGCTAGTAGAGAGTTTTTTCTATTATATCAAGCTCATCGTCGTATTAATAATCGTCGTTGCTGTTGTCACTTACTGTGGGATTCACCATTCACTCAGCAAACGAAAGAAGAAGAGAGTCAAATTGAAGCAGATCCTGTTGGGAATCGGTAATCTCAAGATGAAGCGCGATTATTATGAACCTGACGACGTCTGCTCAATCTGTTGAGAGCAGTTCTCAGCTGACCAGAACATCATTAGATTACCTTGAAACAACAAGCACTACTTCCATGATAACTGAATTGGAGAGTGGATTAACAATAACCCATCCTGACCGCTCTGAAAATTCAAGATTACCGAAGAAGTCTTTCAAAAATTTGTAGAGAAGCCAGAGGGTAGAGATAGTAGTCTCCCTGTCAGATTTGAGGCCCAAAATAACTCCTAATTGTTAATAGTAAAACCTGATAAATATCCCTCATCTAATGTTTAAGAATCGAAATAAAGATTTGAAACCATAATAAATGCGTCATCTGACTGTGACGGAATTTTGAGCGTCCAAGTTCTAGAATAAGATGATCTAAAATTCAACATAAATTCATATTCGGGGTTTTGGGGTTTTGGGGTTTTGGGGTTTTGGGG